ATCTCCATCTTCCTTTGCCTCCAGAATGCTAGGATCAAAGTCATGAGCCACCACAGCCTGCAAAAAAAATCGGTTTTCATTATTTTCTGTTTGTACATATGCCTATGTGTATGTGTGTTTGTGTGTCTGTCTGTGTGAGTGCCACATGCATGTAGATGCTGGTGGAGACCAGAAGAGGGCATTGGGGTCCCTGGAACTAGAGTTACAAGTAGTTGTGAGCAACAGGTGCTGGGTGCTGGGAGCTGAATGCTGGTCCTCTGGAAGAGAAGCAAGTGCTTTTAACTGCTGAGCCATCTTTCCAGCCTGGAGTCAGTCATTGTTCCAAGGAGTGAAGATGATACTGCCCCCCTTTGATGCTGTTTTCTCTCCACTGGTGGAGATCTGAAATATTCACCCACAGTGTAAAGCTCTGATTCCTTTTGCATCTCTGGAGCCCGCCAGGGCATAGCTCCATTCCTGGCCTGCCTGTAGACCCTGTGTGGTCTGAGGATTTTTGCTCAGTTTTCTACCTAGAAATATTTATATTGAAAACCCTCCGCATCTGTCTGTTGTTGGTAAAGTCATCAAAGAAGGCAGAGTAGTATGCATTCATGTTAGCTGCTGCAGGTTTGTGCTGGGCCCTGTGGATGCCAGCATGCCTCTTTGTATACATGTATACACACACACACACACACACACACACACACACACACACACACATATACATGATATAATTGCAGTATCATGAGGACTTTGGGAGAAGCAATGTAAGTGAAGAAGCTCCTTAGAAAAAAATTGTTGTGTAAGTCTAAAGTAGACATCATTTGCAGTAACTTAGTACTGCTCTGGAGCATCTGACAATATGGAACGTGATGTAGAGAGAAACAGGCAAAGATGGATGATGCATCCTTGTGATGCCTTGGGAAATGCTTCCTGGCCCTTCAGCTGCATTTCCCACTGTGCGTTACTATCGTTGTGATTTTGAAATACCGTCCAGTCATCATGGTCATGTTGCTCCGATTGGATATTACTATTATTCTTCTTTTGCAGAATTTGGGTGAGGAGCCCCAGCTCAGGGAGGTTATATATTTTCATAGGAGGAAGCAGATCCTTCAGTTCGGTCATTTAGCCTGGAAAACATCCAGAAGTATTTTCTTATGTCTCAGGAAAGATGGGTATTTCATTAATTATTTATGTGAATTCCTGAGCAGTTTTGCAAAGTAAATGGGAAACAGTTCATCCACAGATGTTGTTTTTTTTTCTTTTTTTTCCTTTTACCACCGCGTTCTTCTTCAGTGAAAATCTGAAGACCAGAAGTCTAGATGGTTCTGTAAGCGATATTTAGAAAATATGTCCACATCATGACAATGATAACCCAGGATAGTTTCAGTTATCAGTATTTTTACTCTGGGGCTAGAAGACATGATCTTTGTTACAATAAAGACATTTCCCTTTTTTTTTTTTTTTTTTTTTTTTTTTTTTTTTTTTTCCCGAGACAGGGTTTCTCTGTGTAGCTTTGCGCCTTTCCTGGAACTCACTTGGTAGCCCAGGATGGCCTTGAACTCACAGAGATCCACCTAGCTCTGCCTCCTGAGTGCTGGGATTAAAGGCGTGCGCCACCACCGCCCGGCCTGACATTTCCTTTTTTTAAAAAAATATTTAAAACTATTTTAAAAAGCAGTTGTTCTCACAATAGTATTCAAGGTGCTGAGTTTTCTCTTTTCGGTGTGCTGTGAACCAGCAAGAGTTTGTTGGTGATGAGGGTTTGTTAAAGGTGACAAGGAGGTGGTTTTAGTTTTTGTTGTTTGTTTTTTTTCCCCCAGAGGTGAAATTCACTACAAGAAAAGGTGTGGACTGTGAAATTATCCCTCCAGCTTTAGGCTTTATGGGTTGGTGAGTAGAGGAGCAAATGTTTGTATTGCAGATACAAGTCTGAAGAACAGCCACGTTGTCAATAATTCCAACCAGGAAGTAGCGCAAATTGATTAATACAGAGAAAGGTGCATTGTGTATTATACATATGCTTAAATGGCTGGCCCGTTTGGGCTGCAGAGAGCGATACATTCAGCTAAAAATTCCAGGGAGCCGGGGGAACTAGTCACCTCGGGAAACAGATTCAGGAGGGCTAAATTTTGCAACACGAATCGCAGAGTTCAAGCAGCGACGTCAAAATCAAAGACTAGCGTGAAGGGATATGGGCACAGCCCCCATGCCTTTCGCAAAGTCATAGAACAGATTGGGAGCATCTTTTGTAAGGAGTTGAGATGAATGTGAGCTTTATGGGTAGGGGAAGAAATGGAAAGGCTTTAATCAAAATCTAGAGGTTTACAAAAAAATCCCCCCCATTTATTTATTTATTTAGAAATCTACATGTGTTTTGAATAATAAAAGGCTCTCCTTTCTCTGAATTTTGCTGGGCATTGAAAATAGTTAACCTATTTATCTGCACCCCTACCTGGCTCAAATGAGGCAGCCTTTAGCGATTCTTCCCTCGCCTCTGACGCCCATTTCAGTGTATTTTCTAAGCAGTCAGTACTTATTTACTTCATGCAGAATTATTTCTGACTGGTAAGGGCCTCTCTGTTACCCCCCACCCCCAACCCCCGTGGGGTTTGAATGCAAGTTCCCCAGAGTCTGGGCCTTTGAATATTTGATCCCCAGTTGGTGGATGTTTGGGGAAGGCTTAAGATGTGTATCCTTGCTGGAGGAGATGTGTCACTTTGGGGTTCACAGGACTTGTGCCATTTCAGGTTGGCTCTCTCTGTTTCCTGTTTGCGGTTGGCGATATAAACTCTCGCTTGTCCCCGCTGCCTTGCCTGGTGCCCGCTACCATGCTCCTGCTGTGATGGTGGCTGATCTATCCATCCCTCCTGAACCACAAGCCCCAAATCAACCCTTCCTTTATTAGTTGCTTCTGCTCATGCTTTTTAGCACAGCAGTAGAAACATAATTGATACACTGATCCAATTCTTCTCTCTCTCTCTCTCTCTTTTTTCTTTTTTTGGTTTTTCGAGACAGGGTTTCTCTGTGTAGCTTTGTGCCTTTCCTGGAACTCACTCTGAAGTCCAGGCTGGCCTCGAACTCACAGAGATCTGCCTGCCTCTGCCTCCCGAGGGCTGGGATTAATGGCGTGCGCCACCGCCGCCAGGCTCTTCTCTCCTCTTAAAAGCAAACTACACTTGACTTCCTTGTACTCCTCTGCTTCTTTTCTTCCCAGTGATTTTGCTGGAATTCCTTCTCTGCCTTAGCACCCCATTTCCCTCTCATTATCCCTTAAGCATCTTCTTTTGACTATATTGTGTCCGTGACTTTCTTATCTCTCTGCTCTCTTTGTTTTTATCAATGTAATCCATTCTGTTCTTTCATAGTGGTTTATTTTCAAAATTCTAAGCTACGGATAAATTCAAACTAACATATAGTGATGGAAAGCTAGCTACCTTTCAGGCAGTTTTTATTAACTTATCAACTGGGTTCAGTTCAAAACATCTTTCCTGTAGTTGCCCAGATGGGCCTCTCTTCCCCATGGCCATAGACAGTCTTCTTCCTCCTGTGTCTCTTCAAATCCTACTTTATTTGGTAGATTTTAAGCTCTCACTATGGGACTCTAGGTTGAGATTCCTGCATTTCTGATAATGATAGAGGGCTTAGTACCTTCTTCTTAGCAACTGTGTTGACGGCTGTGGAGGTTTGTGTGTAAAGTATACATCAACAAATGTTGAAGACTTGGTCCCAAGTTGGTGGCACTCCTGAGAGGTCATAGAATCATGACAGTTCTGATCTTATTGTGCTGAATGTCCTATTAGTGGGTGAGGCCTGGTGGGAGGAGAAGGTTATAGGGAGGGTATCTTAGTTAGGGTTTCTACTGCTGTGAAGAGACACCATGTCCATCGCTACTTTTTTTTTTTTTTTTTGGTTTTTCGAGACAGGGTTTCTCTGTGTAGCTTTGCGCCTTTCCTGAAACTCACTTGGTATCCCAGGTTGGCCTCGAACTCACAGAGATCCGCCTTCCTCTGCCTCCCGAGTGCTGGGATTAAAGGCGTGCGCCACCACCGCCTGGCCGTCCATCGCTACTTTTATAAAAGAAAATATTTAACTAGGTGGCTTACAGTTCAGAGGTTCAATCCATTATCATCATGGGGGGACATGGCAGCATGCAGGCAGACATAATTCTGGGAGGTAGCTGAGAGTTCTACATCTTGTGCAGGCAACAGGGAGTGACCTGTCTCACTGGGTGTGGCTTGAGCATATATGAGAACTTAAAGCCCGCCTCCACAGTGACACACCTACTCCAGCAAGACCACACCTACTCCAGCAAAGCCACACCTCCTAATAGTGCCACTCCCTTTGGAGGGCCATTGTCTTTCAAACCACCACAGAGGGGCACTTGAAGGATATAGCTTGTCTCTGGCACCTTCCCTTCTTTTTCGCCCTCCTCTTTCTCATCTTCTCCCAGCCCCCATCCCGGTCCCCTGCATCCTGGCCACTCTGAGCCAAACAGCTTTGCGTTTTGTTCTATTCTTCCACCGTGATGTTTCTGGCTTGACACAGGCCAAAGCAATGGGGCCCACTGACTGTAGCCTGAAACCTCTGAAATTGTGACCCAAACAAATGTTTATTCCCTTATTTATCTTGCATATTTGTCATAATGATAAAAGCTAACAGAATAACATATCCACAGCTATTAAAAAAAAAAACAACCAAAACTTGTAGTCGGACTTCCTTTGGACGATCAGCTCCCAAATAATGACATGGAGTCATCTTATTAAGTATGAAAGCTTGACCTTAGCTTAGGCTTGTTGCCAACTAGCTCTTAAATCTTAAATTAACTGTTAATCTGCATCTGTCACTTGGCTCCTTACCTCTCCTCCATATAGTAAGTTTGACTTCCTCTGTGTCTCACTGTCAAATCCCCCACACCAGATTCTAACCCAGAGTTTCTATTCCTGCCTGGAAGTTCTGCCTATTCTCTCCTGCCTAGCTATTGGCCATTCAGCTCTTTATCAAACTAATCAGAAGGTGCCTTGGCAGAGACATATCTCCACAGTGTATAAAAAGATTATTCCACAACAAAACTTGCCTGGTAGCAGGACGATATAGATAGGAGTTGCTGTGGTGTGTATGTTATGTCTATAATTCAGGCTCTACAATCACTGTTGTATATATGCCCTGGGTAGACCACTGAACTCTCTGCTTCACTCTGCATTCTCAGACATAATAGAACCCAACTCAAAGGGTTTTGTCAGGATTTTGTACTGGGCATACATCTAGTAAGTGTGTATTTCTCCTGTTCTTGCTTAGGTAGAGACTGTACAAGCTAGACCCACTAGAGGCTGGGAATGAAAAAATAATGCCACTTTCAGTGTGTTAAAGTGCACACATGTCATTCACATTTTTGTTTTGACAATGTCCCTGAACAATGTACAAGACTCGATGCCTCTTTGTAAGAAGCCAGGACATCTATTTTGGCTATGGCAGCCGTGTGATTTATTTGGGAAGGAAAGCGATGACCATTAAGAAACCACTTGGATCTGATGGAGGCAATGGCCACTGAGAGGTCAGCTCCATTGCGGAAAATTGTAGCCATTTGGCCTTTTAGAAAAGAGGAGGTTTATGCTTATTTCTCAAGTTCAGAAAAGAAAAAAGAACGAAAACAAACAACAACAACAACAAAACCAAAAAAAAAAAAAAAAACCAAAACCCCCCAAAAAAAACACACCATTCCCTTTCCTCCCTCCCTGTTGTTTTTGGCAAGACTCAGCAAGTCTTTTAACTCACAAACAACGCTGGGCCAGGTCTTCAAAGAGCTTTTGTACTTTGCAGGCACTAGGGTTTTCAAACCCAACGACAGCTCCGTTGGGGTGGAACTTGGTGGGGGGATTGGAGGGCAGGCACACATAGGTTTCTCTCATCTACTGTCCCACTTATCATGCAGCAAGGTCCTAACTTTGAGGAGATCTGGTTTTCCCAAAAACAGTCTGTTAAGGTGGCTGACACCTTGAGCAGTACATGTTTAAATGAGCCGCTCTGAAAGTGTCAGGGGTAGGGTGGGGTGGGAGGGGCTGGGTCTGTCTGCTTGCCTCATAATGAGGCGATACTTTATTATTTAAAGTCAAGTGCAGCTAGACAAGTTCACTAAATTCAGATAGAATTACGGTGGGGCAGAATGGCTTTCCATCACTTATGGGTTGTGATACCCACGCCTTCCCTTTTGTGGGCACTTTCACTCTGAAATGGGCCTTGTTTGGAAAAGAGGTGAGGTCTCAGAAGGCTTTGTTTACTGTGGGGAGAAATGTAGATTTCTTCTTCTCTATGTGGCCACAGTTGACTTTGAGCACTCTTATCTGAGACACTGGTGTCTGTTAGGATGCAATAGGCTGTGGTTTACTATCCAAATTTCAGTGATTTAAGATATCAGGAATTTATTTCTCACTCTTTCTGTGAGTCTATTGTAGATCAGAAGGAGGTCTGCTCGTCATTGGCATTTAGGATTCTGGAGTGATGGAGGTTCCTTCTTTACCTGCTTCCTCTTTCACCACAGGGAGAAAGAACATGGTGTCTGGACTCCTGCTGCTTCTTCCCATTGATGACACTGCCTCTTCTGCTCATATTTCATGAGTCAACATGGCCACTCCTAACTTTGAAGTGACTGTAGACATTCTATGTTACAGTGAGCCTAGGAAGAAGAAGAGAAATGTAAGTGAATGGCGCCATGACGCCCCCCTTATTCACTAAGTATCACTAGTCTGTAAGGGGTTCTCTTTATTATCATGATGAGTGCTGTATGAATTTCAACTCCCAGACAGTCCAGACATTGCTAGAAGAGTGTTGTCACATGGCTCTACTCAAATCTCCATGAACTGAATTCCTCTGTCCTTGGGATTTTACAATGTAGCATCTTCAAGGACTCCTGGTACTTTGAAATGCTTTCAGTGACAATGATTATGATGAAAGTAATAGCTAAGAATAACAACAACCACAAAAAATACGCATGAAGAGAGGTATGTCCCTGAAGTGGTGGCTTGATTTCTGCTTCGTTTTTTCATTATTTTAAAAGTGTCCTTCAAGTCATAATTAATAATAACATTGTCGGGATTAGAGAACTGATTCAGAGGTTGAGAGCACATACTCTTGCAGTGAATCCAAGCTTGGTTCCCAGCACCCACATCATGTGGCTCACAACTGTCTATAACTCCAACTCTCTCTTCTGGCCTCCATGGACATCTCAATTCA